AATTGTGTTAATTGTGTTCAGTTATGTTTTATATTTTTCACTATCACAGCAAGCACCTTGTATTTACATAGCTATTATCATGGGGTGGTAATAATAACAAGGTTTTAAATACATGTGTCTTTTCAGTCCTTGTGTTGTCCCAGTGTTACATTTATTTTATATATATGTGTCTCCCTCACACATATATACAGAATCATTTATCAGTTCATCCCATTGAGTCATGAAGCAGGTGAAAGTTTCTGCATTTAGTAATAAAAATATTTCTTTGGTTTCAGAGTATCAATAATTGTTGTCACAGGAAGCACTACAGTGTATTTTTATATTTATTTGTTGTCCCTAATTCCATTGAAGTATTCCAGGTAGGATATCTAGGTTTCTTAAAACCAGGAAAAGACTTCATCCAGATGGGTGCGTGTGCAACACGTAGCCAGGATACTCTTAAAAAGTCCCAGCACAATCACAAATGCACTCACTGTTAGTAGCTGCCAGGGCTACTCTGTAAAAGGAAGCTTGTTCTCTAAAGAGCTCATCTGTCGTACCCAATTAAGATCCTCCAGAGTTTAGTACAGTTACTTAGCACAATGGTATGATTCATCAGTGTTGTCACTGGGGTTAAAAATATATATATCTGACTGTTTTAAGTGGCATTATGAATGTTTTACACTGATGAGGTGGAAGCGGCTACACATGCTCAGATACCCTTATATTATACTTCACCCTTACCATAAACAGCCTAGATGTCAGTGATGCCTTTTTGACTATTATACTACTTTAAGTATTGTTTAATTGATATATGATGCATATATTGCTTCTGTGAATCCTCACATTCAAAAAAATATCATTTACAAATGATTAGTGGTTTCTTGATAATTAAACCAATTAATTTCTGTTCCTTAACTAATAATTTGAGAAAAAAATAAAATGACAATTTTGGTTCTATTTTTGTAACGTCACTAAATTTCTGTAAGAGAATCTTTGCCCCAATCATCATCCTTTTCTTCATCCTTTTCGCTGTCTTTTAGACTATCTAATCAAGAAGAGCACTACTCTATATACCTGCTGCTTACTTTATCTTTTCTATTTTTAGTTTTTGGAGCAAGCTGATGGATTAAAAACACTTTGCAGTATCCTGGGAAATATCCTCTACTATATAGACCTTCTGAAATGTCCTAATCCGCTGCTTCTTTTTAATCCAGTGTAGGGAAAATCAGACAAAGAAAACTACTGCTGCATGTGTCTCAGGAGCTTACTTTAAAATGAGGATCAATTGTGGCCTCCTGTACTTTAATGGGCTCTGTTCATGGGGTTTCCTATCTTTCTTGCAAACCAAGCGTGTCGTTCCTGTGATCTATTTTTGCATCCTCACTGTCAGAAATCAGCTATATCTATAAAAAAAAACAGGGAGTTAAATCGCTGCTCTGTTTGCCATATAGCTCGTTTTGTACTACAGCATTATGCAGATGGAGGACAGATGCATCAAACAGCCGTAGCCTATATCAAACAGGAGAACCGTGGAAATGCACTGCAGGCAGAGTCATTAGTGATGGCATTTAACAAGCTCTTCAGCTGACAGGAATGTAAGGGAAACAGTCTGGTTGTAGCTGGCTCGAAGACTGCATTTGATTTTCACGCTGTAAAGGGGACCTACCACATTTTAACTACAGGATAGGAGTTATAAGTATCAGCACTTCCTTTTTTTGGTGACTCCAAAGATGTTGGAAGTTTTCATCTTCATTAATCATGTTTTACGTCAACACACCAGACAGATTTACCGCAAAGTACCTGGTCATGCCAAAGCAGTTTTCTCTGCTGTCTGTCTGCATCTCAGTATTTCTCTCTTCCTCTGAATGCTATTTTTAGCTGCTTTGCTCAGATTATATAATTCATAAAAAGTAAGATGAGAAATTGTGCCAAGTTGGAGAGAGGTTCAACGAAGTCGGTGGCGTAGCCGGGGCAAAGGGAGAGAAAAAGCAGAGAGGGCTGAAGGATGACAAAGATCAGGCTTGTCACATCAGACCCACCTCAGCTTTCAAAGACGTTACACCACCAAGCTTTATCTGCTCTGTGATGACAGCGCATTACGGATGCAGATAAAGTGTCAGCAGTCAGGCAGAAAGATCCACACTGAAAACTTTGAAGGAGAAAGATGAGACAAAGTAGTTTAGAGAGTCAAAGAGGGCTATTTGTTGGGAGCCGCTTTCACTCAGCAGGTTGATGCTGCTCGGTTCGTGAAGCCTCGCTGGCCCTGCTGTCTGAATACACGCCAGGATTACAAATGCTGGAGAGCAGTTGGCAAAACAGGCAGTCTGATTATAATGGAGGGAGCTCCATCGCAGCGTGAACTATATAGGCCAGGACAAGGTGAGAGGAAGCCTTGCCCAGTAAATCACTCAGGCCTGCCTGGAACGTGACTGGGGTCTGGTGAAAGGATGGGTGGAGCGGGAGAAGAGAGTGACAGCTATATACAGCAGGCTGTTGCTCAGCTGTAGAGTGGGATAGCTTGTAGGTGGGGGAGGTACTAGTGGAGCGAAGGGGGTGGGGGGTGGGGGGGATTATGTAACAGTGTTACAAACATATGCCCAGTGATGCGAGGAAACCCCATATGAATTAAAAAAGGTGAAAAGGGCAAAAAATAATTCAAGGGAGATTATGAATAAAAGCTGAGAAAGATGAAATTCACAGATTTGCCAGTGTTGCTTTTTATACTTTGATACCACACATGAAGCCAGGCTAAGTGTGTGTGTGTGTGTGTGTGTGTGTGTGTGTGTGTGTGTGTGTGTGTGCACTGAGCATGACTGAGTTAACTGAACCATGTCACTTCATCAAGCTGCCACTCTGTTTCCATTGGAGACTTAATGTGTTCATTTGCTGGGAGGGTGAATCCCTTGTCTGCACACACAACTACACACTCACGCATGTACATGCAATCACGCAAAATAGCTATGCTAACCAGGTGTTTTCTCTGCCCGTTTTCTCTCTGCGCAGCTTAGCTCTCCATCCGGAGCGAGTGTTGGTGGCCACGGGACAGGTGGGCAAGGAGCCTTACATCTGTGTGTGGGACTCCTACACTGTGCAGACTGTGTCCATCCTCAAGGATGTGCACACACATGGCATTGCTTGCCTGGCCTTTGACCTCGAGGGACAGGTACTGTTCTTGCAGAATAATGCAAATGTTAAAAGACAGTAAGAATCTGTCACATTAAAAGATGAACTGCGCTGCTGTAGTTTTAATCTTTGCAGTCTTTGTCCAGTGCCATAAAATTTGGGGACGTTTCTAGGGAGCCAAAGAGAGCAGGAAGTGTCACCAGATAGCAGATCTGCAGAACTGTATGAGCATTTTGCAGCTGTGAATGCCATATTTCCTATTACTCCAACTGAGATTACTGAGCTGCAGTCGTATTGCATCACAGAACTTGTCAGTTTGTAGTGTTAAAGTGAGATAAACTTGCCGTACATAACAGGCTTGCATCCAGACAATTTAGTTTTTATTCTCTGACACAACCAACTTTCCAGCAACCTCCTTTTTATCTTTTTTTTGTCATCGTTTCAATCTTTCTCGGACTTGTCACCAGTTAACGTTTACACACTGCAACCTTCAGATATCATATTGAGTTGAACTGTGAAAATCAATACAGAACAGGTTTTGTATTTACACGCCTCTTCATCCAATTAAAGCTTTCAAAGTGGACTTTAACATCCTATATTTTTCAGGGAAGGAATATGACCCTGTGTTACTTTACTGCTCGGGTCATGAGCTGGGGACTTAGATGAAAGGTGACAGTTTTTAAAGCCAGAGAAAAATCCATCGCTTATTAGTTTAGCAGCTCTATTTACCCTCCATCGCTCCCCCTTCCTGGATCAGAGGAAGTGAGAGCTGACCTCAGAGCAATCTAGAATAAATCCCTGGTGCCATTACCCTGTCCATCTATTATAGCAATATAAAAAAAGTACACTGATATTTGACACTTCCTTCTCTCCGAGATATTACAGCATTACTCATATTACTGACTCTTTTATTCTGTTTTAGACAATTTCTGCATGCCAGATTATGCTGTGATCAAGGGTTTTTGCAAACAATTATTATGTGGTTTCATCTGTGATTTGAGATTTTAGGTGGTTGCTAGGTGATGTGATGATTTCATAATATATAACACATCATTTTGTGGATATAAATTAGATACTTTTTTGATGAAAAAAAATCACACAATTAGTTTTTAAGGTTTTATACATAAATGTATAAATGCTATAGATTTTAGGCCTGGGTTAGTGGTTGCTAGACTTTATGATTATGTCATAACATCTGACATGCCTGAGAGACTAAGATGTAACTGTGTGCCAGTTTTAGTTGCTCAACTAAAATAGTGATTTTGTCTCACAGTCACATTATTAGCATTTTGGCATGTTGGAATGTTTTTGGAGCCAGAAATCACTATATTTAAGGAAGAGGGTGGAGTTCAGCAAACAAGTTAGCAAGCTGGAGCCATATACTCTTACACAGAGACACTCATTGAATAACAGTATCGTTATTAATATTAGTAGGAGTGTCAAATTATTTGATTAAAAATTCTCCACAAGACAAGTCTGTGTCTTTTTATGCAATCTACGTGTGATCACAGCGTTCTTGCAGCAACCATAAAGTTGTTTGGGACAGCGCTGTATACCTCCTTGCTACCAGTTTTACCTAGCAACAGCCAGCAATCTTTGTATGCTGACATCCTTCCAGTA